GGAGGCTTGTTGTTGGGGAAGCAGGGACTCCTTCCTGCTTCCCATGCTGCAATTAGCCGGCCCCGCCGCACAGTAAGCTCCGCCTCCGCCGCACGCTAAGCCCCGCCCCCGCCGCACAGTAAGCTCCGCCCCCGCCTCAAATTTTTTTTTTTAAATGATCCCGGGTGGCCATGTGTGAGCCGGCCGCCTGGCTCCCCCTGCTCCCATGGGGCTATGTGCGGCCGCACAGCTCACACACGGCCGCCGGGATCACAGGAGCTGTCAGACCGGCCCCAGGTGCCGCGGCCCACCGGGAAATTTCCCGGTATCCCGGTGGGCCAGTCCGGCCCTGGAGGGAACTCTAGTGTAATGAATGCAGATTTGTATTCCTTACACTACGGAATCCCTTTAAATTGCCTCTCCAGCTCCTACCCTGTGTGTAGAAATGTCTACTAAACAGCTAGGTGCCCAGTTGATAATCCAAAAAGGGAAGAACTGGCACAGGTCTCCCATGCCCCCATAGTGATACACCTAATTAAATAATTAACTGGAGGAGACATAGTGTCTGCCTCATGCCCCCACTCGTGCCCTGCTTGTGGGGGCTATTAAAATAAACAGGGGCTGTTTATTTTAATAGCCCTTATGTTGCATCTATCATAGGGTTGCCTGTACGGAGTGTCCCGAGCAGTACTCCTTGGAGCCAAAGTAGGTAGGGAATTTTGCCCTTCGGCTGTTGGGTTTCCATCACAACCCACAACTTCTTTGGTGTCTTAGGATTTTTTATATTATTAGCCCCCACCACCGCCAATGGCTGTGGGATTGGGGGGGAATTATAGGTCCATCTCCCATTTATTACTTAATGCCCTTACCTGCTGTCAATCAGTGGGGCCTGGAGGGGCAATAGGTCAATTCTCCCTTTACCCTTTATTACCCAGAGCCCCCACCAATGGTACCACTCACGGGGCACTGGAGGATGCCCTTCCCCCTCCCCTTAATAATTTATTAGGTGCCCTGGTGCTAGGTACCCTTTATCTGATTAGCAACTGGGCTAAAAGCTGCACAGTCTCTAGTCTTTTTTTATAATGGCAAGCTTGCTCTTTAGTATACATGCCCCTACTCGCGGCATGGCAGGTAGGGGCACGATGGAGGATTTAAACTCCCTTATTTACTAATGCTAAGTATTTACGAAAAGGAAGGGCTTTTTCGTAATGTTGGTCTTTTGGTTTAGTATATAACACAATAGATATGTGGTATTGCCATAAGGATTCCAAAAATTAGCTATCTAATTATACTCTGACAAAACAACATTTTTGTTGTGGCCAATTCTATGAGACTCTTGGTCTGTTTTTGAAAAATGTATTTTATCAGTTTTGATCACTAGGTGGCAGCATGAAATAGTCAGATATGAAAGCCTCAGATATTGAGGCGTGATTTCCATCTGTATACATCAGTGAGTTTTGCCGGGGAATGAAATCACTAACAGTTGTTTTTCTGAATCAAAAGGGAAAAGCTACAAGTTGGGAGAGATAAGCACTACATTTGGGCTTTTGGAAGAATATTTAAAAACCTACCTAAAATAGTGAAAATTGGGTGCCAAAAGTGCCCATTTTAAAATCCCGTAGTTTGTTTCAGAGTATCTGGCACACCATTGCTGCTTAATCCAGGTATGCATACACTAGTGTTACTATAGGTCTCCTGACCTCTTACAGCCCTCTGCTGACATATTCAGCTGACCTTGAACTCTACTTTTATCTGGTCTTCCACATATTAAAATCTGTCTTTAAAATAAATAATTTGGCTTAAACTCACTTCCTCCCAGCACGGCAGCTTTACACAGAGTGTTTACATAGAGGACATAGTCACGCTGTTAAATGACTTGGCCGGGCCCCAGATCAAAGGTGGCCATTGGGTGGCCCGAAATGCATGGGTCCCACTGAGCTTGCAGGACCGATGTTGTCAGACCAGCTGCACCAGTGGTAGTTCTGCCACTGCCCAGCTGCCCTCATCATTACCTTAGTGCATCTACTCTATAACATCCCATGGCTCAGCATATAAGGCTGTTGTGGAACAAAGGGCAGCAAAGGGCCTAAGCCATAAGAAGATTCAAGGATGGTGTATTGGGGAGAAACTGTAGTGGTTGATTTTAGGAGTCTTCTGATCGTATATTGTTTTTGCAAGAACAATTGCTTAAAGGGAAACTCCAGTGCCAGGAAAACAATCCGTTTTCCTGGCACTGCAGGTCCCCTCTCCCTCCCACCCCCCAATCCCCGGTTGTTGTAGGGGTGAAAACCCCTTCCGTTACTTACCAGAGGCAGCAACATGTCCCACGTTGCTGCTTCTTCCTCCACCGCCGCTCCTCCCAGTGATTACGCCGGCCGGGGAGACCTAATGCGCATGCGCTGCAATGCTGCGCATGCGCATTAGAGCTCCCTATAGGAAAGCATTGAAAATGCTTTTCAACGCTTTCCAATGGGGAAATGAGCGACGCTGGAGGTCCTCACACAGCGTGAGGAAGTCCAGCGACGCTCTAGCACAGGTTTTCTGTGCTATGAAGGAGGAAGTTCCCTCTAGTGGCTGTCTAATAGACAGCCACTAGAGGTGGAGTTAACCCTGCAAGCTAATTATTGCAGTTTATAAAAAACTGCAATAATTACACTTACAGGGTTAAGAGTAGTGGGAGATGGCACCCAGACCACTCCAATGGGCAGAAGTGGTCTGGTTGCCTGGAGTGTCCCTTTAAATCCTCTTGAATGTTCTCTAGAATATGAATTTGCTCCTGTAAGTCAGAGAGAGTCATGTCACGAGTTCACCACCATGATCTCTCTGTTCATGTTGCTTTTGGCACTCTGTGTACATAGCAAGGTCGGCCAGGCCTTACTGAATTGTGCTGCAGTGTATGCAGAGTTCTTCCACCATATGGGCTTTCAAATCAGCAAAAAGATCTTCAGGAGTCGGAATAAGGTAGACTACCACATATTTCCTCTAGGTCTAATATTACAGACTCTAGATTTACAGATTTACTTTAAAAAAATATATAATAATTCTTAAAGGTGCAGATTTCTACTTTTAATTTTCTTTTTTTTCCCAAAAGCATTTTAAGAAAAAAAAAGCCACATACATAATTAGTATATGTTGTACATCAGTCAGATACAATCAACATTGAAAAAAATTACAAGAGCATTAGTATTTCCAATCACTCACATCAGCCTCAATAGCAGATTTAAAAAAAATATATATTTATCAATACACATATATACATATAAGAAAAACAAATCAAAGACACTACAAGACAAGACAATCCACTAAATAGAAATAGCTCCTTATATAACAGTACATCGTTAAACAGAGCAAACTCACAACAAGATGTCTTGTGGCAGACAGAGAGATAGGAAAATAAAAAATAAACGCATATTGGTTAATAGTTTTTTGGTAATATGCTAGGGTCAATTTATTCCCCCAGTACCATAAGTTACAAATCTTCACAGAATCTAAATACGTTTTAGTGATGGCTTGTTCCATTTGAAAATGAATAACAATTGGTTTACCAATGCTCTCCAGACTAGTAATATGTTGGATTTCCATTTCCTTGCAATAATTATTTGATCTGCTACAAAACAAATAAATAATTCATTGGTTTTATTTAACTAAGGCCAATCTAAATGTAATAATGCCTCAGATGGAGAACCTTTTAAACTGGTGTTTGTCATTTGTTTAGTCAGACTAAAAATATTTCCCCAAATAACTTATTATGTCTTTACAACCCCACCAGATATGTCAATAAAAAACCCTATTTTTATTGCATCTCCAACAGGTATTTGAAACTAATGGAAACATTTTATTAATAGTAATGGTACTAGATAAGATTTATTCATCATTTTATACTGGTTTTCAGACAATCAATAGCAGATATCCTGTTATTCAAAGAGTTAAACCTGTCTGCTTTGTCAATTTTAACATTCAGTCCTCTTTCCCATCTATTCTAAGCTGTAAAATCCTTATTAATAGAGCTCAATTTAAAAATCCTTAGCTTTTGCTAATACTCTCTAAACTGTTTTATAATTAAAGATGGTATTTAGTTGATTTTGTTTAATGGAATTACTTACATCCAAATGGTTACTTGAAGTGTATTTGACCCTTAAATAATTAAAGAGTTCCAAAGGAGACAAATTATATTCTTCTACTGCATTGGGGAACAGTTTGATAGTATCACAATTCCAAATTTGGTCTATGGTTTTAATTCTGCAGCTTTTCCATTTGGATACGTTCAGAGTATCTATATTGGCTTCTAGGGTATGTATTTTTCATCAATTAATAATTTCAACAGAATTTCTAGTTTATTTTTAATATCATTCCATGCTTCTGATAGTTGTTCTAATATATGGTTATTAATTCTACCTATGGATGTACATCCTCTGTTCCAAAGTATTTCACTTAACTTTCTTTCCCCTATAGTTTTTTTCTCAATATCATACCTGCCTTGTTGTATATATTTTTCTGGCATAGCAGAGTTTGTTTCAACCTAGGCCCTTTTTCCTCTCCAAATAAATTGTTGATACTACATTAAAGCTCTTGTTATTTTAAAAGAATAATGTTCTTTATATATATCTTTATTTTTTTGTGCAGGATTGTACATAGACGTTTGTGATGCCACGACAGCACAGAAAAGCACATATGTGTCAAATACAGTAAAATATAGGCATAACATTTGCGATATCAGCACATTTTTAGAAAAATAATTAAATAAAATAAAGTTAAGTTAAGTTAACACTTGTGAGTCAGAGCAGACATAAGGTCACAGCTAGGTAAACTGACCACAAAATATAGCATACTAGAAAGTGATACCACTAAGCAATGTAAATACTGGGCTTAGGTATTTATTCTCAACATTGGTTTCAAATGGAGCACCGAAATTTCAAATTAAAATCAAGCAGCTACTAGAGGAATACAGAAACAAGTATAAGAAATTTAAGTAAATAGCCTGGTTGCTTTCACAAACCTGCTGAAAATAGTCCTCTCAGCCTATGCCTGTGGTAGCCAGTCTGAGTCCAGACAGATACAGCAGGGAATTCTCGCCTGCCGTGGCGCCTCGACATGCAGCATCACAACAGCCCCAGGTGTTATTAGGACCATTTCCCAACGTCCACAGGCTTCTCTTACTGTCTCTGGAAGAGGGCCTCAAGATCCCGGCAATGGTGTTGTATCCCAGAGCATGGACTACGGGCGGTTACGTGAACCTTCTAGGTTCCCCACCCAGGAGGGGGCGTCAAACCAGAGAAGATTATGCCATAAATGCAGACATCATCGGTGGCGTTCGCCGATCCTCTCAGCTTCTCCAATACCGCTGGCACAGGATATCAAACCTTTGCAGGAATTCCGCTTCCCAACTTCTGAGGTTCAGTTGAACTTGTGTAGCATTGCTGTTGGCCATTTTGGGTAGGTCACCTTCATTGGATTTGGCCAGGTGGGGTTTGGAGGTAAGTGCTTGCTTGTTGGCATCTGGGATAACTCCCGCCAGCCCAGAGGGGACAAGTGGAGGGCTCAGACTATCCGCAAGAGTAAAAGCCTGGGTCACCCCAGACACAGAGATTGGTCTCTTCTCCCATCAGTGTAGCACCAGGCTGCAACAAAATGCAGTCCACTTCAAAGTTACCCCAGCAGTGCAGGATGAGGTTGTCAGTGTGGAAATGATCTGCACCAGAGTATTTCCCCCCTCTAAAACACTTAAATCATGTTTAGGCAGGAGCTCAAACTGCCTGCGACTTTCCAGTTTGGCATCCAAGCCTCAACCCAGCTTTGGGGAATTTTAAGAGGAAGCATTTCAAAGTCTCTGTATGAAACTATGTCAAGAAGTCCATATAGTTCCTACAGTTTTTCCATACAGTTATTAATATCTTGGCTATACTTCAGTTAGATTTTTTCTTTTATATCAAATCACAGATTTGTTAATATTAATTTTATAGTTCGAAACTTGGGCATAATCCATAATTACATTAATAAAAGAGACAAGAGAGTAGAATGGATCGGTTAAAGTAATTAGGATATCATCAGCATATATATTTAACTTTCAATTCTGTGATCAAGTGCAGCTTAAAAAAAAATATTGATTTATTTATCAAGCCATAAACAAACAAAGCAAAATAATACAACTAATACTAACAATTAATACAACCTTTCTAGGTGACTACCTAAATATAAAGCCTGTGATTTGGCAAAACACGTAAAGTGTATTTTTATATTTTATGTAATAAAAAGAGTATACTTTTTATCTACTTTGGACCCTCCTAATTGCTTTTAGAAGATTTTATCCAAGAGGACTCCGGAAATATTATTGGTGGGGATTATAACACCTATGCTATTTGGATTGAGCAAAACCATTTTTGCTCTCCTTTTGTACCTCTCTTTTTTATTTTATTTTAATACTATTTTTTTATCAGTGAGCCCTATTGGTTGGGTTTTTTTTAATTACTTTTATGCCACATCTGCATTGGTGAGCTGCTACTACCCATGCCAGGACTCCCGTACAGTGCATCTGGATCCTGACACAATTCCTGTTGCTACACCAGTATATCCACAGGCAGGGAATATACTGCCCAAGCACTACTATTTGGAGGTGATCAGAAGCACCAAAAAACTGTAAGTGCATTGGTATATTTTCTTCACCAAGTATAAGTACCTACTACACTATATTGTGTCTCCTGCTTTTTTACGTGCACTGAGTACCATCTGGATCAGAAGACACTCACATGGCGCTGCGACCATCTTTCTTCATTTTGCATCTTATCTACTACCAGAAAGAAGAGACTCTGGCTTGGGTTGTCCTAGCTGCCTACTAGCATTATCAGAAGCGCTAGAAATCCTTTTTTTATTCATATAATTCAAAGTGCATACAGCCTGCAATAACAGCTGAATTAAATGGCCTTTCTCACCGTTATACGTGAGGGTTAACAATGACTCCATGGCTGCTATGATTCTTTGTAAAGAATCTTTATCTGAATTTGGATAGTCATTTTTATAGTTCTCTCTCTTTCTTATTTCTACATAAATTAACTTGTGAACCCTTCATTTTTTTCTTACACTACAAATATCTGCTTATGATGAATTATAGAATAAAGACATAGTTACGGTTCAGATGTTAGGTTGTCCAGTGTAGAAGGTAAAGTCAGCAGACATTGTAAAGCAGGATTATCAAAGAAGCTAGTACCAGGATCCCGTATCTACTCTTCTTGTTCAGTGCAATATTCTAATGGTGCCTTGACTATGTTTGCTTCTCCTTTTGGAAAAATACTTTCAGCAAAAGTTTTTCTTTCCTGGGAAGATCATCAACAGATGCGCTCCCATTGTTATTGTTATTGGTGGCAGAGAGATGTACAGCTTCCTGAACATGGATGTAAGAATGTAACATGTAAAATGGACATAACATGGGTTTGGGGGAATAACGGGATACTTATAGGGAGGGTAACAAAATAACAACAGGCTTTCTACAGATAAAAGCTTTGGAATTTACATCATTTCAATAGGTCTGTGAGTTCCTGTAGCAACTAACCCTGGCATTCATCATTAAGTATTACAATGTACTGTCTTTATTGGGAGATTCTAATTTTGTGATAATTGAATCGGTTCTCTCCTCAAACAATATATATGCTGTCCTGAACTGGATAGCTTAATGTCAGCTTTACTTTAATTTCTTAAGATCTTATTTGTAGCGGAGTTCCAATTTCTTCCAACTGGGTATCTCCGCTGAATTTTCCTCAGCGTTGGTCAGTGATTATAACATTTTCCCCAGTAACTAGATAACAAATAGTTCTGGGAGTACAGCTGTTTTTTTATTAGGAAAGCACAATCTTTTATACATGGACCCCTAGCATTGGTTCCCTATTCAACCCTGAGTAAGCCGGCTTGGTGCCTCTGTATGTTGGTGTTAGCCCTCGTTTAAGCTAATTATCTCCCAGATACAGAGGACATAACCTAAATACCCCAAAACATATGAAAACAAGCAAGAACTCCAACATATCATATATCCCTGGATAGTTCTAAACTGCATGTTGGCAAAATAGCGCCCGGATCCATGGAGAACAGACGAATTGCCACTGGGGTAAAGATTGGACCGGGCTCTAACAAAGTTCATGCCGAAATTAGTTCCAGGGCAAATGTCCGTTTGGCCAGTCAATTATCGGGAGCTCCTTCAGACAAACAAAAGGGGGCTCTCCCTGGCTCTGAGGGAGTGACTACAAATAGCGCTCTCCTGGCAGGACGGGAAGTAGGGTAAAACACAGGGGCCTCGAGGCTCTCTGGAATGCCCGCCAGGATAGAAGTGCTCTCAGTTGGATAGCATGGAGAGGTCACAGCCCTGAGCCAAGAGTAGTGATATAGCTACATCATGGATAATTTGAGGGTACAATAGTACATGGTTCACCACATTATTGTTATTGCAATAGTATGCATATATACGTAGATATTAAGAGGCACAACTTAATGCTACACCCTGAAATGTCATCTATGGTGCAATATCCACACAGTCTACCTGCCTTCATGATGCTATGAAATGTAACTCTCATGGTTCTCAACCTGCATGACCACCCACAACTCAAAATAATTTTTCCCTTTATCATGAGCATGTTCAAATATTTGACACATTTCATCTGCTGAACATATTGAATTGTAATATAATAGGTTACACCTTGTTAATATGTTTGGGTGTATATCATCTGATATTATTGACTCTTTTTCCTCTGGCTTTCAATAAATTCAATAGAACGTCCCCCTTTGTAAATAGACTCATGTACAGTAGTATTTATAGTCCTTTGTAACTGAACAGAATTATACTTATAGAAAATTACAGTTACACCCTTTTTCTTTAGTGTAATAATCACAAGTTTACATCGGGGGAGGGCTGGCAAGAGGGGCAGTGGTGCATAGCTCCCCAGTCCACTGTCTTATCGTGCTTGTTAGCCACAGTCTCACTGCCCTTGTCTGCATCTGATATGTATGAATGTTTCTAAAGCTATGCGGTGCAAACTGATGGATGTTGCAAAGATATCCAATGTTCCAGCAGCCTCCCTCTGTCAAATCCATACCATACCACATGTGATATTAATTTGAAACTGTCCCCGACCTAAAGTTTCCATTTTTTCTCCTGCAAATTTTAGGTAAATATGTTTTTATTGGTTTTGTTACATTACATCTCTTACGTAATTTCTAGCGGTATTCGTTAGAGGAGATGTGCAGGTCTCTAATATGTTGATCAACAGTGCGCTGATTGCATTCAACAATAGGTGGACTTGCAGGTCCGTACGTGTTTGCATTACTGAATGACATATTAGCCTCAGATTCAGGACAGGCCTGTTGAAAACAGCAGATAAAACTGATAACAAAACATTTATATACATGTGGTTGGTTTCATTGCCGCAGGTGTTGATTACACCTTGTTCACGGCTCCTCCCTCTCCCCCCCCCAATTTTGTCAACCATTCTTGTATGTCGGTAACACCGTTATGATGTATCGGGTATTCCCTGGACTGTCTGGCTTGCGGTAGAGTGTTTTGATTTGGGAACATTGGGTGGGTGGTGGTTTGCGTGGTGTATTGCAGGGTCTCGCCTACATTGGGTGTGTGGTTGTGACGCTCTATGAAGCTTGTGTGGTATAGCGGGCGTTGATGGTGTTCAAGATTTGTGTCTCCATGTCCTTCTATACAGGTAAGCATGCGGGTTATGTTGGTTGGGTTTACTTGTGTGCATGATGTTGATTACCGTTATGTCCCCTTTGGCTCTCCTGACATTAGTTTGAGAGGTATGCCCCTCCCCCCCTCCCAAGGAGGTTCAGTTCTCGTGTACAAGTCCACCTCTTTGGGACGTTATGTTATCTTTCATGTCGTAGTTCCTTGTGATTCCTGTGGTCTGTGGCGACATCCTCTTAGGTGCGAGGTTGTCCGCATTCCACCACTGTCATTCATTATCACCATCCCCATGTCAGTGAGGGCGTCCCTATCTCCAATATCTCCTTGTGTCTGGCTAGTTATTTCTCGCGTGGCTGTTGTGCGTCATTTAGGGAATAAGATCCATGAACTTGTTGCAATAATGGCAACTGATAGTGTAGATTTAGTCGCTGTTACTGAGACATGGTATAATGAGAAAAATGACTGGGACATAGCAATACCAGGGTATTCTTTATATAGGAAAGATAGGGAAGGCAAAAAAGGGGGAGGGGTGGCCTTGTATGTGAAGGATAGCATAAAATCTAGCCTAATAAAAGTTAGCGAGGCAAACATAGATTCCATCTGGGTTACGTTAGAATTTGGTAATCACACAGTAACTCGTGTAGGTGTGATTTATAGGCCCCCAGGACAAATTGAAGAGTTAGATAATCTACTAGTTAAGGAAATAGCTAAAATGACAATGAAGGGGGA